AAAAAATTTTTGTCGAAAAAATTTTGGCCCAAAAGTTTTTTCATATTAGACCGATATTGACCAATATTGGACCGATATTGGACCGATATTGGACCGATATTGAACCGATATTGACCAATATTGGACCGATATTGATCAACATAGGACCGATATTGACCAATATTAGACCGATATTGACCAATATTCGAAAAAAAAAATTTGAGAAAAAAATTTTGGTCCAAAGTTTTGGTCAAAAAAATTTTGGTCAAAAAAAATTTTGGTCAAAAAAAATTGTGGAAAAAAAAATTTGGTCAAAAAAATTTTGGCCCAAACAATTTTCGAAAAAATTTTGGTCAAAAAAATTTTTAAAAAATTTTGGCCCAAAAAATTTTGGTCAAAAAAAATTTTGGTCCAAAAAATTTTGGAAAAAAAATTTTGGTCAAAAAAATTTTGGCCCAAACAATTTTCGAAAAAATTTTGGTCAAAAAATTTTTAAAAAAATTTTGGTCAAAAAAAATTTGGCCCAAAAAAATTTTCGGAAAAAAATTTTTGGAAAAAAATTTTTGGTCAAAAAAATTTTGGCCCAAAAAATTTTGTCAAAAAAATTTTGGTCAAAAAAATTTTCGGAAAAAAATTTTGGTTAAAAAAATTTTGGTCCAAAAAAATTTTGGTCAAAAAAATTTTGGTCAAAAAATTGTTTTTATATTAGACCGATATTGACCAATATTGGACCGATATTGACCAATATTAGACCGATATTGACCAATATTGGACCGATATTGACCAATATTGGACCGATATCGACCAACATGGGACCGATATTGATCAATATTAGACCGATATTGACCAATATTGGACCGATATTGACCAATATTGGACCGATATTGACCAATATTAGACCGATATTGATCAATATTCGAAAAAAATTTTGAGAAAAAAATTTTGGTCCAAAAATTTTTGGTTAAAAAAATTTTGGTCAAAAAAATTTTTGGTAAAAAAAAATTCGGTCAAAAAAAAATAGGCCCAAAAAAATTTTTGGTCAAAGTTTTGGTCAAAAAAATTTTGGCCCAAAAAATTTTGGTCAAAAAAATTTTTGGTCAAAAAAAATTTATTCAAAAAAGTTTTGGCCCAAAAAATTTTCGGAAAAAAAAATTTTTGGTCAAAAAAATTTTGGTCACAAAAAAATTTGGTCAAAAAAATTTTGGTCAAAAAAATTTTCGGAAAAAAATTTTCGGAAAAAATTTTTTTTATATTAGACCGATATTGACCAATATTGGACCGATATTGACCAATATTGGACCGATAATGACCAATATTAGACCGATATTGACCAATATTGGACCGATATTGACCAATATTGGACCGATATTGACCAACATAGGACCGATATTGACCAATATTCAAAAAAAAGAATTTGAGAAAAAAATTTTGGTCCTAAAAATTTTGGTCAAAAAAATTTTGGTCAAAAAAATTGTGGTCAAAAAAATTTTGGTCAAAAAAAATTTGGTCCGATATTGACCAATATTAGACCGGTATTGACCAATATTGGACCGATATTGACCACTATTGGATCGATATTGACCAATATTAGACCGATAATGACCAATATTCGGAAAAAAAAATTTTGGTCCAAAAAATTTTGGTCAAAAAAATTTTTGGTTAAATGAATTTTGGTCAAAAAAATTTTTGGTAAAAAAAAATTTGGCCCAAAAAAATTTTTAGTCAAAAAAATTTTTGGTCAAAAAAATTTTGGCCCAAAAAATTTTGGTCAAAAAAATTTTTGGTCAAAAAAAATTTATTCAAAAAAATTTTGGCCCAAAAAATTTTCGGAAAAAAAAATTTTTGGTCAAAAAAATTTTGGTCACAAAAAAATTTGGTCAAAAAAATTTTTGGCTCAAAAAATTTTGGTCAAAAAAATTTTGGCCCAAAAAATTTTGGTAGAAAATATTATTGAAAAAAGTTTTTTGGAAAATAATTTGGGGACCGAACAATTAATACCCGCAAAAGGCACATGCATTTTATATTTTAGAGTATGTGCTATTGAAAAATGCTTACTAATGAATTACGAAATCTTAATTTTTTTGTTTTATATTTTTTAACAACATGTTTGTTATTTTGATGAAAATATATTTTATACGCGTATATTTTGTCCTCATTTCATTTATTCAAATTAATCAGGTTTATCTTCTTTATTTGGACTACTTAAGTTGAATTATTTCATATACCACGTCATCATTGGGAACTGGTATTTTATTTAATTTCATTTATCAAATAAGTTGAAATTACAATATTGTGTTATATATGTTGTATATTTTCATATTATATAATAATAAAAACAACATTGTTTTGTAAGTGAAATATAACAATATTTCATAAATATATCAAAATAATAATATATATTAAAGTATAGAAATATAATTTCCTATAAAACTAAAAATAGAATGTGCTATTGAAAAATGCATATGAATAAATTATGGATGCGACATCTGTCGCACATGTAGTAAACTTTCAGCAATAAGGTTAAACAAGTCTATATATAATAAATCTATACAATATATATACAATATATTTATTTTATTCAAAGACTTGATTTTTTTTTAGAACAATATCTTTAAATTTGTTAGGTTTTCTCGGTTCAAAATTCAATATTATAACTTATTACTAATAATTTTATAATTTTAAAAACTTTGAATAATTTGTTTGTACTTATTGTTTGCACTTGCTGAAAAATGGCACACACAAAGTGTCGAAACCTATATAATAAATAGTTTAATTATTAATTGCTTTTTATCTTGTCTGTTTCAAAAATTTGTCATCTGGTCCTTTTTACTGTATAGAGAAGGTCAGAAGAATTTATCATCGGAGTTTGTTTACTAAAATTTGACCATTCGGTTTGAATGGCCAAAGGTATGTTGTTAAGATAGATTAAAAGTGTATAGAAGTTCATGATCTACCGAGATGCTGCCGAACTCTATTAAACCACTTGCACACTGTCGAAGGACCAGATATACTTAGATGGTGGCTATATCAGACCGAATAAAGATAATATTAATAAAAGATGATGAATAACTGTTTAATTATTGTGTATTTGAAATATTAAGACTTATAGATGTTAGATGTTATTGATTTGAATGTTCATTTAAGACTGATGTTAACTAGATGATATTTTTGTTGATACTAAATTATAAAGATTTTACAATTTTATATGATTTTTCTGATTGGTCCATTTTGTGGAATTAACGACATTCCCTTACAATTTTGGATCCAATCAGTAGCTGTTACATTTATCAACCAATCAGGTATTGGTCAGTGATTGCATGATATGTAGAATTAAAACTGGGTACAAGTAATCCGAGTTTCTTAGAAATATATTGATTGCAGGATGATATAGTTAGGGACAGGTGATTAATATTCTTAGAAACATGGATTAATGGTATGCTGATATATTTAGGATGCTTGACAATGAGAGGGATTATTTAATGGTTCTAAATTATATAATAAGGGATGAGGATTTATTATTGCCATCCTGTATGAAGGTAATAAAATATAATAATTAGACCAGGGTTGGGAATGAGGCGTTAACAGAGTTGTAATAACTAAATTTATTTTATCTCTTATATAATTGCTTTTTTAAACTTCTTTTTTATATTTTTATTTACAATATTCTTATAGTGTATTCTTATTATTATATTATTGTGTCTATTATTGCCTGTTCAGGCTTAGGATAAAACAGCAAGCCGCTAATTCTTCAAGACGCTGGGTTGTTACATGAAAAATAAAAAAGAATTACTATAAAAAATATAGAATATATATTGAATTGTTTAAAAGTTTTGCAAAAACAAACTTTTTGCAATTTTGGAATTTTTGAAGAAAGTTTTTGCAGTTTGAAAATGCACCCGAGCCCACACGCGCCTTCTTAAGGCACGATGCCATACACCACTAGTTTAATTTATCTTGTAAAATTACTTTTTTCAACTTACTTTAATATTTTAGTTACTATTTTTTTATTGTTTGCATCATTACCATGTTAAAGGATTACACGGAAGCTTTTATAGAGAAGTTATATAAAAAACTGGTGAATCTAACTCTTGCATAGCAATTCAAACATCTTGAGTACGCGTGCGTGCGTCTTGCTGCTTGTATGTTAGAAAAAAATTCGAAAAAAATTTACTAAACAAAATGTTTGAAAAAATGGAATAAAAAAAAATTTTTTTTGAAAATTAAAAAAAAAGTTCTTTTTTGGTAGTAAAAAAGTTATCTCTCCTTAGGCACGAGCTGATTCATGTCGGCAGAGTGATGTTTGCGAGACCGCCCCTCTAACCATTCGACCATTGGATTACTTAAAGCACATTATTTTAATCGCATTTGTATTGCATTCCATTGTATCAGTGAATAAAACTTATTAAAATATAAGTCCCTTTTATATGTCTATAAACAAGGCAGCATACGAACGATGCATGCCGGCTGTGAGTGACATTTCATGTGCAGTAGGCGCCGTACCGAAGTGGTTAGTCCATATGAGATGACTCATTAATTTTTTGAAAAGAACATTTTTTTTCTTAAAATAAAATTGAATAAAAAAAACTTGTTTTTGAAACTTTCAATTTTTTTTGAAAATTTTGCAATTTTTAAAGCGATTCATTTAAATTTTGCATACGCACGCATGGAAGCACACGACACACGCACGTGTGTCAAAAAATCGACTTTCCTCCAAAATTAAAAAAAAAAAAAGATTTACAACTATTTTTAAAAAATTTATAGGGTATGAATTAAAATAGAAAGGAAATTTATGAATAATAGATATATAAAAGAGACTTTCAGTTGATTAAATTTCAAAATTGATACAATACAAACATAATTAAAATAACATACGTCTTCAAGTAATCCAATGGCAATGCAATTAGAGTGGTCGACTCAGGAACGTCACATGGGTCCTGTACGTAGACGTGAGGCAGTTTGAGTCCCAACAAAAGGATACTTTCACTACTTGCATGTTAGGGGCCGTCCATTAATCTCGTGATCAATTTTTATAGGTTTTTGGTTCTCTCCTTCCCTCTTTGTGATACAAGGAGGTATTCTGAAATTACCTCCCCTCCTCCTGCATACCAACATTACATGAATTTTTAGTACCTAGAAAAATGAGATATCTTACTAAACCCTGCCTCTTACCATGTAACATTTTGTGTTTTTTTTTTTAGGGCATAACACCTGTCCCAAATCTTAATGATTGACTCCACAAAGGTACAAAGCCTGTACAACTAAAGTGTAAGAGCATCCTCTCATCAGAAGCCGGTTATCCATGGGTGGGGCAGTCATCCACTAGAGAGGTAGGGTAGACCCAAACCTATTTAAAGATACATCTAAAATTTAATTTCTTACTAATGTTATATCTATAAATGAGATTAATGTCGGTTATAACATTCAAAGCAAATTCATTTTTTATCCACCAATATTCATATAAAAAAATATCAAGCAGATCATACAATAATAAAAACACTTTGCTTAGCTTAGATTAGCAGATCAAACTTCAATTGTTAAGTAATATTGTGCTATCTCTGAAGTGTGATAATATTTCGAAAAAATTATATAAAGTGCCCAAAAATATTTGAACAAAAACAGTTGAAGATATAACAGGTACGATCGGCTGTTTACGTTTCAGCCAAAAATTTCTTCGTAATTAACTGTTAAATTTTTTTTTCAATGAAATTTTTTATTTTCATAGATATCATGGCCCTAAAGAACATACTAAAATGTTACGGCCCTACGGCAAGTAGTTTAATCTAAAAAATTCAATGTTTGAAAAAATATGATATTCAAAATTTATGTCAAAAGTCACTTTTGTGATGTGATAAGTCAATTAGAAATGGCTTTGGAATTAACAAAAAAAAAAGTAAATGAACAGTCTTTCACTAAAGAACATAATAAAAATATAGAAATGCAAATTAATACACAAAATGAAATATAACAGAATTAAAACAAGTACAACATAAACACAAACAAGATATACATGAACACTACACTAGACACAACACAACAATTCTCATATTGAACAAAAAAGAATGAAGAAATTGAGAAGAAATGTTATATGGAGCGCTAGTAAAAAATATAATGAATTGCCAAATTATATTAAGCTTAATATCTAGATGACCAACGATGACAATAAATTTAAAAGAAAAATAAAGAAATATGAGGAAATTGAAGACAAAGAAGACTGAAGAGTTATATAAAGATATTTTAATTATAATAGATATTATATTAATGAAATAGTCAAATAAAATGTACGTATAAAATATGAATACTGTTTTCATAATCTTTCATACCAGGCACCTCTGTCTGTCTGAGATATGAAAATAATGTATATATGTATATATATATATATATATATATATATATATATAATATATATATATATATACACACACACACACACATATATATATATATATATATATAAACAAAAAAATAAATATTAGTCAAGTTTGAAATAATATCAATAAAAAAAACAGTCTACAAAAAATGTTACCAGTCATTTAAATCATTAATACTATAAACATGAATTACATAATCGTGACAGTATTATCTTAGAGCAGATGCTTTATTTCACAAAATAATTTATTAAGTTTTTTTAAAAAAAATGTTTCAATGTTTTTCATGAAATTTAACATTGCGATAAAGTACATGCACTAAACAGCTTTACGAAAGTTGATTGAATTTTATAGATTAATTAAAATTTTTAATATGTTACAGCTTTAGGACATACAAGCACATATCTGTGTGCTATAATTAATATAATCACAGATATTACAAATGTGTTTGAGAGATATTAATTGGAAATCAATATTTGTTGACTTAATTGAAAGCAAAAAATTGATTTTTAAAATGAACAGTTGAAAATTTTATCTAATTATGTAAACCCCAATTTAGATTGATTAAGTCATTTATTACACCTATCGTCACTTTCAACTAGTTAAGTTATGAGTTGTTCCTATAATTTTATTATGTATACATGTATGTTTAGAAATTAGCTTCAAATTAATTTTAATGACATAAAAATCTTCTTCGAACATCGTCAATTGAAAGTTGCCTTTTGAAATGCCTGCACAAATCTTAACAGTGCTCGGTGGATAGCAGTTAACATATCTAAAGTATTATCCAAATTATACTTAATTGCAAGATCGATATCAATGCAGCAATTTTTATTCATTTTGCATTAATAAACTTTTAACTGCTACAATGCAGCCCATTTACATGCTTAATTGTTTGGTAGATAGCAAGAACAGAACCTGTAATGAAATAGTGATCATATATATATATATATATATATATATATATATATATATATATATATATATATATATATATATATATGGAATATTTAACAAAATATTAGTTAGACTATTAACAGTATTTTGGCATACCTCAGGAAAACTGGATGTGTGTGTTTTGTATGTTCGCATATTTTCGTCCACATTTTCGGACGCACGTACATGAACACTACACTAGACAACACAGCAATTTTCACATTGAACACACTAGAACTATTAACAGACAATTAACTAAATTAACATTAATGATAAACATAATTAAATGTTAAACATATGTAAATTAGGTTTTGTAAAATATTGTTGATCATATGTAAAATATGTCAATAATCACACATAAATTCACTAATTAAACTGTTATCAACACATAGCACAAAAACACAAAAAAGTAAGCATAATCGAATGCATTATGTTATGTTGGGTTGCATTTGTATGCAATTATGTTTACTTATCTATGATCGTATATCGAATGATAAAAAGCCGCGCATAGCGCCATAGATAAATAAACATAAGTCGTGCAAACAGCCCACAGCGCACCACAGCGTACGAGATTCGATAGTCGTAGACATAGATAAGTAAACATAAGTAGACGCCGTAGACGCACCAAGGCAAAAGAGACAGTTCCGTGTGGTTCCGTGTTGCCGCGCTCGAGTTCTAGTCGACGGCAGTGCCACCATCGGCGCCAAATTTAAAATAACACAAAGCGCAAATTCAAATCGACAAATCAGTCAAGTGAATGCCGATATCACTACTGCTTCAACATCGTAAAGGTGCCGTCCACACCTAACGAACGATTATGAACGAACATAAATGAACGTACCAGAACGAACGGCAACAGCATAGTGTGGACGCCACAACGATCACGAACGAACATAAACAAACATGGCGAGCAATGTTCCGCAACTTGTCGGTACATCAAAGGGAATTGTTCGTTCATGTTTGAACTCGTATGTGCAGTGTGGACGCTACCACGAATGTTGACAAACATTTTTCTTTTTTTATGTTAAAATGTGCATTAATGTATTAATTTATGTTGTGTTTATTATAAGATATTGCTGTTATTGACAAATTTTGTAAATTTGATGACTTTAAATAATTTTGCTCTTTCCCGCCACTTTAAATAATAAATCTGACGTTTCACGGTACATCCTCGAACAAAAAGATTCAAGCCCTCAATGCTTTGAGGCATTTATTTGGAATTTTTTGCGTTCGTTCGTGTTCCTGTTCGTTCTTCTTTGTATTTTCCTGTTCGACATGTTCGTTCGTGTTCGCTCGTTAGGTGTGGACGCACCTTCCTTAACATCAACACATTGAACATTCGCTGCTCGCAGCGGGGATCAAACTCGGGATCCTAGACAATATTAGAATACCCCGTATTCATATAGACGCTTCTCTCGCCCGATTTTTACGTTCAGAAGGAATACTTAAAGGGTCCTCCGCTCGACGTGGTGGCGCTGCTTTTGGCACTCAAATTAATGGCGCAAAATTTAAAATGAAAATTAATAAATTTTAATACACGGGTATTTGAAACTAAATTCGGTATTACAATCCTATTATGTTTTGTAATGATACAATAATAACAACAATATACTAGATAATATTATATTATAATAAATATACAATCAAATCAAAATATAAATCAACAAATACACTGCAATACACCGGTTTATATATAATAGATATCACATCTAATCTACTGGAATAACTTCTACACTTTTTTCTACTTATTAATATAAATATTCAGTGAAATTTAGTGAATAATGCATTATAGTGTTAGTTCATTACATCGTCTGTCATTCTTAACTCTCATTAACTAATAATCATCCCGTGCAAAATTTGACATTTTTAAGCAATTCACTTTTTCCCAAGTACAGTGCTGGATTTACAGTAGGGGCAATCGGGGCTACTGCCCAGGGCGGCAAATTTTCGGGGGCGGCAAAATTTGGATAGTGAGAAAAAAATTCTATACGACATAATCAACTTTTTTAACAACATTTTTTATTTAAAGAAATCTAATTAACAAAACATAATACGATTGCAATGCAAAATTTGGGTTGAAATAAACGTTAACTAAAAATTATTATTTTGCCTTGCCTCCCTCTCCGAACGTAAATTATCAAATTGGTTAATAAGTTATCAAATTTGGCAGGTTGGCTAATATAAAGATCCGTAAACAAGCTGAAAGTTTAAGAAAAATATGTTCTTCAGTTCTCCAGCCCTCTTAAAATATACGTATTTGTGCACTTCTAAGCTTATAGCGTCGAAAAAAAAACTATTGACTCATGGCATTGTGCCTTAAGACAAGTTACTGAAACATCCCGTACTGAAAATTACATTTTATAAAGAGCTTTAAATTTTATTGAAAAATGAAAAAAAAAACGGCTAAAACACATTTTTTGTATTTCGAAATTTTTCGAAAACTATGAACTCTTTGCAAAGCAATCGCGCTGCGTAGCTGTTTCAGAGAAAAAGTATCGAAACTCAATTACCATTTTTCGTAATTGCCTGTACCAAAAGCTAATCAGCACGTCTCCCCATCAATACAAATCTAATATTTTTTAATTATTCAAGTCGATTTCGAGAACACGGATCAACCGATTTGTGATTCAATTCCTATTGATAAGGAGACGTGCTGATTAGTTAGTGGCCAAGGCAGGTCCAACTGTTTTGAAGATACGGGTCAAAATGCCAAAAATGATAATTCAGTTTTTGAGAAAAAAGCGTCCAATAACATTCGAAAAAATTTACAGAATAAATAACTGCTTAAATTTGTGGGGGGCAGGATTAGCGGTTTCGATGATCTAATAAAAAAATTAGAAAAAGAAACATTTGGCGGACAGAAGTGTTCATAAGACATATGCACATTAAATTATTTTAACATATTAAATAATTAAAATATTTTAAAGATATTATAATAACAAGTATAAATTTTGTTTACATTTATATAAGTTCTGTAACATTGTTTATCAATTAGACTGCGACGCGGCGCTTACGCGCTTCTATATTTTGTCCCACGCAGCTGAAGCAGCGCGATTGCTTTAAAAAAAAGTTCGAAAATTCGTAAAATTTCAGGGATGGGGCGGCATTTTTGTCAGTGCCCCTGGGCGCCAAATTTCTAAATCCGGCCCTGCCCAAGTATATTCAGATCCGCGTGAAGTGGTAATCCAATTTTAAACAGCTGGAACAGCTTTCTATTTGTGTATTATGTCTTTCTTGTAGAAGCGTATATTTGATTTCTTCCACAATTTCCCAGAACTGATCTCTTTCCTTAAAGTGTATTATTTTTAGACTAATATGTCAATGCACTACGTAGTAATGTAGTTTTCCTCCATAGTTAAAGTTTTCCTCCATAGGAGTTTGAAGCTGTTCTATTCATATTGTCAAAGGACAAACACAAACGAGGAAAAATCGCCATTTTGTAAACTTATGCAAAAATAACACTGACGTTTCTTAGTAACCAACATAAAACATTTGAAAATACTTTTTTATCGGCTCACTAGCGCCAAATCTGCGACTACAAATGGACCCCTAAGTATTCCTTCTGAACGAGGATTTTGTTCTAAGTGAAAAGGCCCTGCTCGGGATCTTTAATTCGGGTCATACTCCTAGACAATATAATAATGATCATACTCTTCTTTTAAATATGATTCAGATTCTGTAAGCTCTTGTAAGTGAGCACAGCGAGTACATGTTTATTATTATTATTATTATTATTATTATTTAAAAAAGATAGATTTTATTCTGTTAAAATTATGACAAGATAATTATAGGTTTTATAAATGTTATAGAAAAATAATGGTCTATATTAACATAAAAGGAATTAGAATATTTTTACTTAAATTATACTATACTATAGTTAATTTTAGTTCAACCACAAAAATGCTTTTCACGCAATGACAAACTTGTCGGATTTTTCAAATACTTCATAGGAAAAGGAGAATTCGTTAAAGAATAAGAAATGGATAAAAACCTGTTCGTTAATATAACCGCCATACTAGTGCTCCAATTATGCATAGTTAGTAGTTATCAATCGTGCACACAAAAAAGAGCAATCATGATGTTTATTAAACAATGAAAATGAGTAAAAAATAGTGGTGAAAAGGCACTGAGAAATCCGTTGCCCAGACCATTTGAGGTAAAAGAACAGCCAGGAATCAACAAAAAGTATAAGATTTTAATTAACATTCAAATAAATTACTAGGTGATTTTGTCGTTTTTTGCAGTTTGACTTTCAATTTTGAGTTAAAATTCGTGTTCAATGGTAAAAAATAAATTGGAAAACATATGTCTCCGTTACAGACAACTTTTTTGCGAACTTGTTACTATATCACATACAGGTTTTAGATTACCGGTTGTAATCTCAATTTTGAATTGAGATGTTTTTTCCATAATGAAATAATTTTATTCTTGATTATGGAGCCTCTCTTGATGATTACATATATATATATATATATATATATATATATATATATTATATACTAGCTGACCCGGCAAACGTTATTTTGCTAAGTAAGGTATATTCTAAACAATTTCTAGAGAATAAAAAATATTAATATTTTAAGTGTATAAGGATGTGTTGTTTCAATGTTATATACAATGACATATTATAAAAACAATAAACCCCATTAGTTTGTCTATATTTTGAAAACTGGAAGTTTTCTATAGAAAACATGGTATCATAGATAAGTAAACATGGTATAATCCAATCCAAGTCTTTCTTGATCCTTCGACTTATTGATTACGTTTCAAGTTTTTCAGATTCTTTTTGGATTCTGGATTTTGTGTATAATTATAAAAAATACTATTGAGCTTATACAAAATTTTCAAATATCTGCGAGGAGAGATAGAAAGAAAATGAATAAAGTTTATATAGTTCTTATAAATATTAGACAATTTTACAATTATTTATAAAAATCTATTTGAAAACATTTATTATTCCTCGATCATTTCGTTACTGTACGGAAAGTTCCAGCAATTTGCCTTCAGGTACGATGATATACTCCACTAGTTTACTTTTTTTTATTGAATCCCCGAAACCGCTGGACCTGTCCTCCCAAAAATTTCAGTTCTTCCTTGTGTTCAAATCAATTTCAATCGTTCAAATCGGACTCTTCGTTCTCTTAAAAACTGAATTGCAGAGAGGACCAATTTTGGACCTTTTTGCCGCGTATCTTCGAACGGCTGGGCCTGCCATTGCTATAAAAACTAATCAGCACGCCTCTCATTAATACGAATCCATTGTTTTTTGATTTATTCAAATCGGTTGAACCGTGTTCCCGAAACCGTCGATAAAAATTTGTATCCGCGCGCGCACACACACATCAATTTTTTCTAAGGTATGCCAAAATGTTTAAAAACCTTTGAAACGTGAAGATATATAGAAATTTCTATTTCCGATTTTATTGCGAGATTACTGTAACTAAATATAAATTTCATCTTAATAATAATAATTATTATTAACCTTTTAATGCAATTATTTCACTAGTCCATCTAACATCATAAACTGGAGAACTTCAGCCAGAATTAAAATTAAAATCTGAATTATTTTAGATATAAAAATAAAAATGAAAAAAAAATTGAAACAATTTTTTTTCCATAAGCATTTATTTCGTTAAAGCAAGCAGAAAGTTTTTTGAATCTTTAAATCATTCAAATCGAACGCTTACTTCTCTTAAAAATTGCCATTTTTTGTACATTTAGCTCTGTATCTTCGAAATGACTGGACCTTCTTTTGCCAAAAACTAATCACCTCCCACTAAGCCAAAATCCGTAATATTTATAAGAGCTCTTCTCCCAATCATTACAAATTGAATGTTTTTAGATCAAAAACTCGATTTCTATTTTCTGCACTCTTTGCTTCGTATCTCCTTAACTCTATATCAATAGGAATCGAATGTTTTTTGAACTCAGTTGAATTCAAATCGGTTGATCCGTGCGCCCGAAAACGTGGACGAAAAAATGTGGACATACAAAAAACACACACACATATTCATTTTTTCTTAAGTTCTGAGCCAAAATGTTCAGAAAGCTCTAAAACGTGAAGATATGAAAAAATTTTCATTTTCGATTTTCATCCTATTACTATAACTACCCTACGGGAAGTTAATAAATATGGAATATATAAGGTTGTCAAATATCCCCCTTCCGCCTTTTTGTATTATAAACCAAGAGCAAAAAAGCGGAAGGGAGATATTTGACAACCTAATATTAATAACATCTAAAATAAATTATTTAACAATTTATTAATTACAAATAAGCCTTAATACACACCTGCCTCGAAGTTATTGTATTCGAGCATATTCTTTCTATTGGATGCATTTGAAAGTTGCCAAACCTTGATCCAATTGTCTTTTTTTCCAATGTAGATTATATTTGTGTAGAAATCATCGGTCGGACGCGGTCAGCCGATTGACAACAGTTGACGACGGTTCATCATTGTATATAGATCAAAAAGATCATAACTTTCGATTATACTACTTCCTTCGTGTTTCGGATTTGAATTTGTCTAAATATTACGTAAGTATATAATAACTTTGTCATACGTAGCGGTGAAGCTCAATGAGCAAGTTGTTTCTCGTACGTTATTCATCGTAATTTACTGTATTTTATTTTCAAACACTTTTCAACATGTCTGGGGAACCTCAAAGTAAAAAAACGAAAATGTCCAACTGTTTGGAAAAACTGAAAACTTTTACAACAGTCGTTGCTGATACCGGCGATTTCGAAGGTAACCTAACTTTTAAATTGCTTAATGAATTATTTCAATTAAATGTAATATTTCTATTTAAGCAATGAAAAAATATAAGCCGACTGATGCAACCACAAATCCTTCTTTAATTTTGTCAGCGGCTACTATGGAACAATATAAACCACTTGTTGATAAGGCTATAAAATATGGAAAGAAAGTTGGAGGGTACGTTGGAATAATTTAGTCAAGGTCATTGATTTAAGATTCATCTGTTCTCATCAATTTCAGAAGTTTACAAAATCAATTGGAAGAAACTGCAGATATGCTGTGTGTTTTATTCGGTTGTGAGATATTGAAAATCATACCTGGAAGGGTCTCGACAGAAGTAGATGCTAGGTAACCTTCATGTAACCTTCAGTTAAATTATTCTATGATAACATTTTTAATTAAATCCATCTTATTTTTATTAGAAGTTATAATTTAATGATGCCAAAGTAAATAAAAATAAGTTCAAATTTTACATAGAATACTAACTACATAGTTTGAAGAGTCTTTCGTATTGTGAAGTTTCCTACTTTTGTTTCCTACTTATTTAAGTATGTTTACACAAAGTAACAATTCATAATATATTTATCAAACTTGTATTTAATCCTCTTTTTACGTATTTTTGGCATTATATTTTTTGACTGACTTTTAATTATATTGTGAAAAGATTTTGTATGGAATTCGTTTGATGGTATGTTGTCCAAAAAATTAAGTATCCAAAATTGTACAAAAATTTATGATTGAAAAACATTCATACAAACTACACCTAAGTCTGTTTTTACATGGTCTTTTTGTACACGGTTTTGATATAACACGGATTGAGAATTGAATATTTTTAATTTTTTTACACGATTTTATTCCATTTAGCACGATTTGAAATTTTATGTACTTAAATTTTTTTTGTCAAATTAAATTTTTGCGAAGTATATTGATATCACAAAAAAGTATTTATGAAAGAAAAAAGTCTGAAACCATCGATAGTATCGATAGTTTGCGAACACTGGCTTAAAGATTTAAGTGAATTCTCCTTTAGCGCGTACAAACAATTTTTACTGGTGCTTTAAAGCAAATGTGAATAGCATTAATTTAATTCTTGTTCTTGAAAATTCTTGTTTTTCACCAATTTTAATAGGTTTTAGAGATTAGGAACAAATCACCCATTTTTGTATAAGATCAATGTCTTTTTTTACACGTTTTTTTTTTTACACGGCTTCTTCTGGAACCAATCTCCGTGTAAAAACAGACTTAGGTGTACATTAAAAATATGTAAAGTCATTGGCACGAAAAGGCTGAATGTATAGCCGCATCATTGAATGTGCTTTACAAATAGAATGCAAACAATTTTGAAATATTTATCAAATATCTTGGAGGCAAAGGAAAGTTAATAACAAATATACCATATATTCATATGAAATACTTGATGCCCTTACTGGAGACTTCTACAGACTAAAACTATATTTGTATATGTAGATTATCATTCAACAAAGATGCTAGTATTGCGAAGGCTTTGAAACTAATTCAATTGTATGAAGATCATGGAATTTCCAAAGATAGAGTTCTCATCAAGCTTGCTTCAACTTGGGAAGGAATACAAGCTGCAAAGTATGTAATTTTGCACAGAAATTTTAGAAAATATTTCTTACACTGTTTTTATTATACAGGGTATTGGAAGAAGAGCATGGTGTCCATTGCAATCTTACTTTATTGTTTTCGTTTTGTCAAGCTGTAGCTTGTGCAGAAGCTGGAGTTACTTTGATTTCGCCATTTGTGGGAAGAATTTTGGACTGGTATTTATTTAAAAGCTGAGTTATATAAAAAAATTATCAAATAATTTTCTAAGAATAATTATAGGTATGTAGCAAACACTGATAAAAAGACTTTTGCTCCAAATGAAGATCCAGGAGTTATCTCAGTCACTAAAATCTACAACTATTATAAAAAATTTGGTTTCAAAACAGTTGTTATGGGAGCATCTTTCCGCAACACTGGTATGCAATTTAATTTTATGTAACAGAAACTGTTCAACTACTCAAACTGTTTTTTTTCCTGTTCAGGTGAAATTAAAGCCCTTGCTGGATGTGACTTGTTAACAATTAGTCCAAAGTTGTTGGGTGAATTAGAAATTTCAACTGAGAATTTGCCGAAGGTATTAGGACTTTGGTCAATAAAAAAATATATTATAATTGATTAAATGTACTACATTGTGATCAATACTGTCAATTAGCAAATATTTAAACATTGAATATTTTTCAGATGTTAAGTCTAGAATCTGCTAAAGCATCTCAATTAGAAAAAATTAAAATGGACGAAAGCACATTCAGATGGATGCTTAACGAGGATACTATGGCAACTGACAAGCTTTCTGAAGGCATCCGGAAGTTTGCTGTTGACCAACGAAAGTTAGAAGATCTGCTTAAAACATACTTTAATTGAAATATTTTTGTAATTTTGTATAACTCATTTTTGTATATTTCTTTAAAATAAATGTTAACAATACAATAATTTTTTTTGTTTCATAAGTACAAAATATATTACATAATACTATCAGATTAGGTGATTTCAGATCTAAAATAAATAATTTTTTAAATACAATTTCATACCTTGGAGTTACTGTTGGTAACCTTATGTGAATTATCAGACTTGGCATTATAACCGTACATAAATATTGAACAGATCACGAAAAACACTCCTGCAGTGAATTGCATCGTCAAATTAAAATCAAATATGTATATAGATACAACACAAGATATTATTATAGCCAAAGATGTGGCAAATCCTTTCAAGATGTTATCTGCGTATTTCACTACCATTGCCACAATAAGCCCACCACAAGCTTGTAGCAAAACAAGATACCATATAAAGAAATCATATCCATAAAAAAATCCTTTGTCAAAAATGATTTTGTGATCTGATAAAAACGAGGTAATGAACCCAAATGGTAATGACAACAAGCTCAACTGAATATTTCTCATCCAAACAGATATATCGGAGCCTTTCAAAATTTTTTCAAAATATATCCCCGCAAATCCAGACAAAAAGCAAGCAGCAAATGCTGCACTAAAACCTATTAAACGGTTTTGACTAAAACCAGTTTGAAGAGTCGCAGGTGTATCTGATTTTGCAAGCTGAACTAAAACCACACCTATAACAAGGACTACAAGAGCAGCCCACTGGATAGATAACAACTTCTTTTTTAATATAAATACTGCAAACATGGCAGTGGTCAAAATTTTGAGTTGATATGTGACCTAAAATGGTAAATAAATAAACTGCAAATATAGCTGAAAATTTAAATTATTTCAATTTTCTGAGAAATACTTTCAAACCTGATAAGTTGCTGCATCTAAATGTGAAGCGCTAACGTAAAGCAAATTGTTCTGTATAATATACACCAGGGATGGTACACAAACTTTTAATGTGTCAAATGGTTGTTTAACAATTGTACTGTATAGAGCGTTTGACCATTTTTCCAAAGACTTTTCTTCTGAATACAAAATACACAAACATATAATGAGCTTCATTACCTCTGACATGACAACAGCTGCAAAAGTACACAAATTAGTTATTTAAAATCTTATGAATATATGTATTCGCATTACCTGTCGATGATAAAAACATGTCTCCATCCCTAGTTCTCGCATAGCGCATACTGAGTCCCAAAATTGCATTTTGGAGAGTTAAAGTAATTAAACTAGCATATTTCAACGCCTGAGTATTTTCTACAATACAAAATTATTTAATAAAATATTTTATTGAAGTATGAGTTTTAGATAAAATGGTTAATTACTTTGTTTCATTATGAACTGATATGTTTATGTTAACCTCAATATGTTGACGATATTAGATTAATGTTTACCGTTTTCTAACAGTCATTATTTTGTGATTAGTTCAATTTTAATGAGTCAAGAGTATTAAATAAATGAATAATATAACAATTATAAACAAAAGATAGATTCGGCATGTCTCGTAAAGATCACTTGCTGATTTGGCATTTTGACGTACGCTAAACATTTGAAACGTGACATTTGACACTTGCCCTACTCTTCAATATTTTTATTTAGTACTCAATTAAATATTGTTTAACCGCGAATTTCAAATATGCAACGTTTCAATACCATACGTATAACGTAGGGTTATTTTAACGGGCTACATTTTTGTTAGCCAAACATAAATATAGAATTATAGATTGCGTACAATAAAACATAATAATGTATTTGCAGATTTATTATAGTAGAAAAATTGTTTATTAATATTTTTTTATTCAACATAGTGAATAACATTTACAGCAACAAATAAACATAAATGCCTTTTGCCTTTCGATGTTTACGATTACGGAGTCATAGCAACAGTTGTTTTGACAACAATGCTATACATGTAAACAGACTAATTTGGTGAAACGATTTTGAAATCAGTAGAAAATTTTTATTAATACCAAAATGAAGCCAACATTTAATTTTTTGATTAACCACAAGATGTTACCAGGTCGTATTACTATCGGAAAATACGACGGTAAAAATGCTTGTTTGACTGCAGCCACAATAGCGGACAAGGTACCAATGCAATTGCAAATTATTTTAGATATTCAATAGATATTTTTCTATATAATATTTGAACAGCAGAATTAGAAGATCCTATAAGCTATTGTGATGATTTGACTTAATTAACTACGTCGGTTTTATAGACGGCAACACGAACAGTTTTCCTATCTCTATGTGTGAATTTTCTTATTACAATTTCTGTAATAAACTAGTGGGGTGCATGGCATCGTGCCTTAAGGCAAATTGCTGGAACTTCCCGAAACGTGATTAAAAATCTTCGTGCGGAACCCAAAAAAAAAAAAAATACAAAAAATGTGCACACATTATTAAAATTTCTATAAAATATCTGATAATTTGATGCACATATGTCCAATAAACATTTTTGACCACCAAATGATTTTTTTTTAACTTATTTTTATTGAGAGTCCATAACCGCTGGACCTGCCTTCCCAAAAACTAATTAGCACGTCTTCTTATCAATACGAATCGAATGTTTTTTGAATTATTCAAATCGGTTGATCAGTGTTCCCGAAATCGTCGACGAAAATTTGTATCCGCACATGCACACACACACACACACACACCAACATATACATCCATTTTTTTTAATTATAAGGTATGCCTTACCATGCCAAAATATTCAGAAACCTTAAATATGCAAAGATATTGCGATTACTTTTTAATTTTTTTTATTGATATTAATTTTTTATTGATATTGTAATGCCGGACAAGGGCTATTTGCACTCGTAAGCATATTGATATCTATATATGCAAGTAAAAACCGAGGTCACTACTGCTTGAAAAATTTGATAGATGTTAAATATATTAGGTAGGGCGGGGCACAAAGACACAATTTGTCTTTGAGCAATTATATTGTACTCCCAGATAAATCATCATTGTAAAAAATTGTTTTTTTTTCGCTATTTCTTAAAAGTTTGTAAACTGGTCCATTTACCCCATAAGCGGGGCGCAAAAACATTTCCAATATCTTATTAACTTCCCGTAGGGTAAGTTATAGTAAAGGACCGAAAATCGAAAATGATCATTTTTGCATATCTTCACTTTTCAGAGGTTTCTAAACATTTTGGCATACTACAGAAAAATGGATGTGTGTGTGTGTGTTTTGTATGTCCGCATTTTTCGTTCATGTTTTCGGGCGCAAGAATCAACCGATTTGAATGATTCAAAAAACATTCCATTCCTATTGATAGGAAGATGTGCTGATTAGCTTTTGGCAAAGGCAAGTCCAGCCATTTCGAAGGTACAGAGGTGAATGTACAAAATATGGCAGTTTTTGAGAGAACTACGCATCCGATTTGAATGATTTAAAAAAAATTCTGCTTGTTATAACAAAATAATTGCTTTTGGAAAAAACTTTTTGTTGCAATTTTTTTTTGTATATCGAAAATAATTCATATTTTAAATTCAATTCTGGCTAAAGTTTTATAGCTCACTTATGTACTTTAAGTAAATAATTTTAACTTTGTAATTCAGTTTATATAATTCATTTCATTACGTTGCGGGAAGCAATTTGCTTCAAGGCACGATGCCACACACCACTAGTTTTTAATTTTAAAGTTATTTAACGATATAATAGTTCATTAACCAATGCAAAATTCAAATTTTATGGGGACATTTTTTACAGAGATAACGCTGTTACTTTGTTATAGTAATTAGTCAGAAATATTCATAAGCATAGTTAGAATAACTTATCTAACTTATTTCTTATAAAATTGCTTTTGTTGTTGTTTGAATCAAGGTGATGGCTGGTTATATATTTTTTACTCTTTACTTTCAAATATTGATGATTTTTTTTAACTTTACTTGTTTTTGAGAAATCGGTGGTGGACCTTTGTACCCGCAAATCTTCGAGCCTCGCTATACCTTATTATTAATGCCTTTATATATTGTAACACATCTATGAAAACGTAATCAATGGAATATGAATAAATCAACATAGCACTCCGTCGATTGAATAATCACATACCTCCCGAACACGAGATGCTCTTAAATTTAATTAACATCTTAAATAATATAAAACCATTAACATTATCACTCGGAATAAACTCACATTTTACCAAAAACTGAGAATATGTGTTATCAATTTTTGTGTTTTTGAGTATTTGCTTTTTTACATATGCATTAAAGAATTAGAAATGTTCATAATCTAATCATCAGCACGCTTTTTTTAACTGATAAAAATGATTGCGCATACTACTGAGCTATAAATGTTTTAGAATGGGTAACACCTTCTAGATAACAAGGTAATTATTCATTTAAAAGATTTAAAATATTATTTGTAAGGCATTTATTTATTATGGAGTTTCTACCATTGCTGGAATTCTTAACAATGATTTTATTAATTGTCAGACTAAGGCGTATAAAATATTATATATAAATATACAAATTGTTATTTATTGGATTTATTGTTCGGAAAAGAAACATATCAATTTATTGAAAAAATCCAGGACTTGCCTATTATATATATATATATATATATATATATATATATATATATATATATATATTTGAAATTCACATAGCTAATACAATTTTTCTATGAATACAAATCTGATTATAAGCATACTCCCTAAAATGCAACAAAAATTCTATAAAATCTGAAATATAGAGCAAAAATATACACTTTTTATGTAAATTTTGTAAGTAAGGTAAATATAGCTTGAGCTTCGATTTCTAATTATATGATGAAAACTTCTAATTATATGATATATGTATATATATCTTATATATAAAATTCTCGTGTCGCGAAATTCTCATGAAATTTTGTGTGCATATTGGGTAGGTCAGAGAATCGGACGACATTAATTTTTCGTCCCCCTAAATGTTAAGTGCAATCTACCACTTTCTTTTTTTAATTTTTTTTTGTCATTTTTCTTTGTTTTTTTTTTTTTTAATGAGGCATTAAGAATACATACAACCCCCAAAATGTTTACTTTATTATCACCAACTTCTATTTTTTTATAACTATTTTAATAATTCAATAATTTTTTAACCCGCGTTCAGTCATTGAATATTTTTGACATAATTATAATTAGGATTTTTAAGCTTCAGGAAAAATCTTAAATCTTACTTTGCGTTAGTATTTACTATTATCAAGGGTTGTCCAACTCTTATACTTTCTTTAATTTCCGGGTCAATTTTCTTTATTTTATTTAGTGTTATGTATATATACAAAGCTATCTCCGTCAATTCCCAGGAAATGCCACATATCAATTTAATTTAAAAATGAATAATGGGTTTTGCTTCATAAATCAAAACTAGTAACATGCATGGCATCGTACCTTAAGGCAAATTGCTGGAACTTCCCGTACCAAAAATTATAATTTTTTTAAAAAGATTAACATTGTTGAAAAAAATTTACTTCGAAAAAAATAGATTTTTGAGAAACTATAAATTTGACAAAAAATTTTGAACTTTTTTTCAAAGCAATCGCACTGCTTTAACTGCACAGAGACGAAATATAAAAGTGCGTATGCGCCGCGCCGCCGTCTAACGGATAAACTTTGGTACGGAACCCATAGGAATGTAAACAAAATTTATACTTATTGTTAAAATCTATAAAATATCTGATAATTTGATGTGCATATGTTGAACGATCATTTTTGACCGTCAAATGGCATTTCTTTTTACTTTTTTTACTAGATCTCCGAAACCGCTAAACCTGCCTTTATGAAAATATGATCAATTCTTTATCTTGTCCGTAAAAGTAAAATGTTTTTTGAATTATTGAAATCGGATGCTCCGTTCTCTTAAAAACCGAGTTACCATTTTTGGCACTTTTTGCCCCGTATCTTTGGAACGGCGAGACCTGCCTTTGGCAAAAATTAATCAGCACGTCTCCTTATCAATACAAATCGAATGTTTTTTGAATTATTCAAATCGGTTGATCGGCGTTCCTGAAATCGTCGACGAAAATTTGTATCCGCACACACACACGCACACACACACACACATACATACATACACACACATACATCAATTTTTTCTAAGGTATGCTAAAATATTCAGAAATCTCTCAAACGTAAAGATATATAAAAATTTTCATTTTCGATTTTTTTGCGATTACTATAACTTGCCCTACGGGAAGTTAAAATATTACTGAATTAATGAGAAGCGCGGTAATATTATATCAAAATCTAGAAACTTTAAATGTTGAAAATAAATTTAAATAAAATCAGCTTCAGATTAAGTTGGCACTTGCAAAGACTATTAATAGTAATTTTTTTCATATCAACACCAACTCTAATCAATACAAATAAAATATATGTCTAATGTAATATACATTTTTATCATAAATCAACGTAAACTACAATTAATTTCATAATAAAATATATAGTGTCTCCCGTGACACAGTTTACACATGTGGGCACACGTAAATTGTGTCACAGGAGACACTATATATGTGGGCCACATCTTATAACTATGTATATATTTCATTCGATATTCCTTAATGA